AAAAAAAAAAAAAAGAGACCAAAAAAAAGAACGTAAAACAAATTAATGAATTAAAAAAAAAAATTAACAGCCGAATAGAAGAGACGCATGGAGCAAGGTATATGAGAAAAGGCAAGGAGTTTCCACACCCTCTCCAGTACACCTACCCTACAGGAATCTCCACGTGTTCAGCTATCTGGAAACTCCTTAACCAGGTCTTTTAGGGTTTGGATGAAGGTTTCTTTATGTGGGCATGATTGATTAAATCACTGCCCATTGGTGATAAACTCAATCTTCATCCCTGTCCACTACCTGATGTATGACTAAAGTTCCAACCTCTGATCATTTGGTTGGTTGCCTTGGTAACTAGCCCCCATCCTGAGGCTATTCAGGAGCCCCCAGCCACTAGTCATCTCATTAGCATACAAAAAGACATCTTGGAGATTCCAAGGCTTTAGGAATTGTGTGCCAGCAAAGAGTAAGAACACCAAATATTTCCTATTATAAATCACAGTATCACACAAGTAATTCCCTACAGGTAAATGGTGTTAATACAATAGAATGTTATTAACCGCCAAAATAATAATATTTGAACTAGTTTTTCATATAAAGTCACTTAAAGAATATGAAAATGCTCGGTATGTTGGCTGACAACTGTAATCCAAGTACTTTGGTAGGCTGAGGCTGGCGGATCACTTGAGGTCAGGAGTTCCAGACCAGCCTGACCAACATGGAGAAACCCGGTCTCTACTAAAAGTACAAAATTAGCCAGGTGTAGTGGTGCATGCCTGTAGTCCCAGCTACTCAGGAGGCTGAGGCAGAAGAATTGCTTGAACCCGGGAGGCAGACGTTGTGGTAAGCTGAGATCACACCATTGCACTCCAGCCTGGGCAAAAAGAGCGAAACTCTGTTTTAAAAAAAAAATAATAATAATAATATAAAAGCACACCTATAAACCCACCACTTTGGAAGGCCAAGGCAGGATGATCTCTTGAGGCCCAACTTTGAGACCAGACTGGCCAACATAGCAGGACCCCTCACTCATTATCAAATGAAAATAAAAATTTTTTAAATAATAAAAAAGAATATGGAAGCCAAGTTGTATATGCACATTAAGGATAATCATGTAAAATACTTTGTACACATGATAAATTTTAGCTGTTAATTGGGAATGATATAAAATCTCAATTATTTAATGTTTGTTAGATTCCTTTTTAAAGTTGCTTAAGAGGCCCCACACAGTGGCTCACATCTGTAAATCCTGTCTCTACTAAAAATACAAAATTTAGCCATGCACCACCATGCCTGGCTAATTTTTGTATTTTTAGTAGAGACAGGGTTTCGCATGTTGGCCAGCTGGTCTCAAACTCCTGATCTCAGGTGATTCACCTGCCTCAGCCTCCCAGAGCACTAGGATTTACAGATGTGAGCCACTGTACCAGGCCTCTTGAGCAACTTTACGTCTGTAATCCCAGTTACTAAGGAGGCTGAGGCAGGAGAATTGCTTGAACCCGGGAGGCAGAGGTGGCAGTGAGCCAAGATCATGCCACTATACAGAGCGAGAGTCCATATCAAAAAAAAAAAAAAAAAGTTGCTTAAGGTTTTTCTACTTTTTAGAGTTGGGGTCTTGCTTTGCTGCCCAAGCTAGACTTGAACATCCGGCTTCAAGCCATCCTCCCACCTCAGTCTCCCAAGTAGTGAGATTTATAGGCTCAAGCCATCATACTCAGCAGGTTTTTTTTTTTTTTTTTTAGACAGAGTCTCTCTCTGTCACCCAGGCTGGAGTACAGTGGAGTGGTACAATCTCAGCTCACTGCAACCTCTGCCTCCCAGGCTCAATAGAGTCTCTTGCCTCAGCCTCCCAAGTAGCTGGGATAACAGGCGCATGCTACCATGCCTGGCTAATTTTTGCGTCTTTAGTAGAGATGGGGTTTCACCATGTTGGCCAGGCTGGTCTCGAACTTCTTACCACAAGTGATCCCCCTGCCTCGGCCTGCCAAAGTGCTGGGATTACAATCGTGAGCCACTGCGCCTGGCCTGATTCTTTTTTTTAAAGGACAGATAAGTAGAGACTGTCTAGTAAAAGTACCCCAAAGTGATTTTTCTTCCTTCCTTTCTGCAATTAACACTTAATAAACACTATGCTAGTCACTGGAAATACAGTGATATATAAAAACTTTATTTTCATAAACTTATTTTTTTTTTTTGAGGCAGGGTCTCACTCTGTTGCCCCAGCTGGAGTGCCGTGGCATGATCACGCCTCACTGCAGCTTCGACCTCCTGGGCTCAAGTAATCCTCCAACCTCAGCCTCCAGAGTGGTTCGGAATACAGGTGTGCACCTTAACACTCACACTAATTTCATTTTTTGGTATTGATGGCATCTTGCCATGCTGCCCAGGATGGTCTCAAACTCCTGGGCTCAAGTGATCCTCCTCCCTCAGCCTCCCAATGTGCTAGGATTATATGCATGAGCCATGGCACCCAGCCAGCCCATAAGCTTGCCTTTTATTAAGGGAGACAGATAATCTAATAACTACACATGTAATTATTACTTTCAATT